GCCCGTGAAGCGGGGAAGGGGTGTTGGCCCCGGCCCGCCTGAGGGAAGGCGGTCCCTACGGTGCAGGGCGAGGGGGACCGCCTGTACCTGCCGGAGGTAGCCCGGGCTCCTGGGGCTGTCGCAGGTGGCGGGCCGGCCCGGCCCCGGGGGTCCGTCCTGCTCGGGCACAGACTCCCCATCAGTACCCGGAGTTGTCCCGGGAGTGTTTGTCACTACAGCCCTGAGTAGCATCTTCTCCGTCAGCCATGTGCCTAGCGTTTCTTGCCAAAGGATTCACAGCATATTTTAAATAGTTCTTTTCCCTCGATGTTAATTTTTTTTTTTTTCCTCCCAAAGAAACAAACCTGTAGGCTGCAAACTTATTTTCCCCTTCTGGGCTCAGGCCGTGCATGTGGCAGTTCTTGCTCCCCAGCAGGTTTTTAGACGGTTTCCCTGCAGTCCTGGCCACCGGGGGAAAAGCAGCCCGCTCTCTCCAAAAGCCTTCGCACCCTCCTCAGCAGAGTTACCCAGCGGAGCGGGGATGGGGTTGGCCTTGGTGCTAGTAGCCTTTAGTATGCCGGCCGAATTGCCACACAGGTAGAAGACAAACGGCATTAGGACAGAGCAAACAATGTCCTGAGGCTGCTGAAGCAGGCAAAAATTTGGTTTTGGTGTATGTGTTGCTCAGCTGCATCGTGCATTAGTTCCATTAGCAAGTGCAGAGCCCTTCGAAACCGATCTTGGGAAATGGTATGTCATTGATTTTTTACCAAGATAAAGTACTGAGATAGCTTTCATTGGTTAACATCTACATGCGTCTTCATCTCCTGCATTTCGTTATAAACAGCTTCAGGAATGTATTTTGCAGCTTTTTATATGACATCTCTTACTAACGATCTGCGATACACCTACCCTGTGGTGGGTGAGAGCAGAGGAGCCGTCGCCGACCCCTACCCGTTAGTGGTGGGTTGGATGTCGCCTCCCCACGGAAGGCAGCCGGGAGCAGGCAGCCGTTCCACACGTTCTGCGTGCCAAGCACAGCACTGCCTCGGCCCACAGCAAACCCCCAAAGACTGGGCCAAAGGAAGGGCTCATTCCGTGCTGGAGAAAACAACTGCGGCTCGTGAACATTGCACATACTCACAGATTTCCTCGCTTACCAAATTTTGAGGGGGATTTAATAATTTGATCATTTGAAACTAAATCTTCCTGAAGAACAAAATTAGATTAAAATTTTGAACCTTTGTACATGAGACACCAACAGTAGTAACCCAGTAATACCTGTGTTTCTACAATGTAAAAAAAAAAAAACCATTACAGAGTAGTTACGATTTCTCTTCATCTAAAAGGAATCTCACGATAGTTATCGTATGTCACATTGCAACAACTTGAAATGCCGTTTTGCCATCCTGTCTGTTGAAACCATTTGCATTCCTTTAAATACACATATTGGGAAATATCTGTGTACAAGCTTCAGAGCAAGATGTAAAACCATTCCAGAATGCCTTTGGTTGGGAAAAATCACAGATGAGAGGGCAGTGGCTGGGACGGTCCCAAGGCTCACTGCTGTGCAGGTAAGGAGCTGTGAGTCCCAAGGGGTCTGCCTGGCCTCTGTCCCTATGGGGGTCAGATCCTGCCCCCTCTGACAGCTGTGTCACAGCGCCCGCAAGCTGGCTTAGGAACAGCGTCTCAGGCAAAGTAGCATGCAAGAAATGCATAAAACCAACACTATCCATGCTTTCCTGACAGTGCACTCATTGTGCACAATTAATGCATCTGTCTCCTGCAGATTAATTCACAATTATGTTTTCTTCGTTACCTATGGGCCCAAGTAAAGGAAAAGCCCAATGCCACCTCCTCTAAACTGATCTTACCTGTTTGAGTGGTTAAGCTTTCGTTCCCAACAAAACCTTTCACTTCCAGGCTGGAATCAGTATGTAAAACCTTTTACTACACCTTCCAGAACTGTGGTCCTGATCTGTAAGGATGCAGTCAAAGAAGAAAGGTATGAACATATCTGAGGGCATTTCTTTTTGTTCATCTCATAGTCGGATGCTAAAACAGGTTGCCCAGAAAGGCTGTGGGAACTCCATCCTGGAGACACTGAAGACTTGGCTGGCCCTGGCCAAGCTCACCTATGTGGCTCCTGCTCTGCATTGGGGCTGACCAGAGGACCTCCAGAGGTCCCGTGCAACGTAAATTAGTCTCCCAGCTCTAAACCTTTCCTCGTACCAGAGCTGCTATCCTCCCTAGCTGAGACATGGCTTGGATGGAAGGAATGCGGACCAGCCAAGCAGAACACCAGCAACAAAATCCCCAGTAAAATTCTGCATGGGCACCACAGCTCGACTGCACTGACCTTTCTGATGCTATTTGGAGGTTACCTGTGCCACCAGCAAACGTATGCCTGAAGCAAAGGGCATGCATCTGAAGCCTGGAAGAGGGGATCTGCCCCATTAAAAACCACTGAAAAGATTCAAAACAGCTAGCAGATGAACTCTGGACATTTTCTGCAAGAAAAAGTTGCTGCAACCATTTCAAATTGAGCAAACAAAAGGAGTCTACACCTACCTTGACTGCCATCTTCACACCTGCATCTTTCTCACCTGTTCTACTGGGAAATCAGAATCCTCTTGTCCACCTGTGCCTTAGATCATCTGAATGAGTTCCCTAATGAATAACAACTTACTGCATTTAAAGTAACTGTATGTAACTTTTAGCAAGTTCCTCTTACTTAGGTGGCATTTTTGGAAATTTTTGTTACTTGGATATTTCCTTTCAGCAATTAAAACAATATTAGTAGAAAGTAGGTACTACCCAAAGTAAGGACCAAATCCTGTGAAGAACTGGAGTACTGACATTTGGTGTGCAGTACTGCCTTCTCCCATGAGTATTAGCTATGGAAACAAAAGAAAATTCAACACCATTGTGTTTTCTGTGCTGCTTCACACAGTACTTTCTTCATGTTCTGTATGGTTTTAAATGTTAGTTTAAGCATTTAGATTACTCCTCTATGCAATAGGCACACAGGAAATAGCTCAGTGAAAAGCTGCCAATAGTTGAGTCTATAAACACAGTTTGATCTGTATCTTAGAAAATTGTTTCCATTCCAAACTGTGGTTACAAAGCACTTTTTCTTGTTGGCAGCTGGATTTTTTTTAAATCCCTATGCATCCTGTATTTGCCCAACAGAGTTGGCATTGATCACACACACACACACACACAAAAAAAAACCCCCTGCAGATAAAATAACATTAAGGATCTGGCTGGAACTAACTTGAGCCAGTGGAGTAAGAGTCAAAGCTGAGCTTTTGTTTTCAGCTCAGCCTGTTTTGTTCAGGAGCTGCAAAGCACACAGTGCCGAATGTGAGTCCTTTTACTTGGCCTTCTACAAAAAGTAAAAGCTACTTCAAGAGGATGGGACTAGAGCTTGCGTTGACTTGAAGAGGCTTATTATTAGGAAACTGGCAAATATTTAGGACCGGTTAAACAGTGTGACTTTAAACAAATAGAAAGCAGTATTCTTCTGAAGGTACAAAGAGAAATATTTTTTTAAATTTTTTTCATTAACAGACTGAGATTTCGCCAATTACTTAATCTCTTCTGAGTTGATGACATGAGAATTGTAAATGACTGCACAAGCAAAAAAGTCAAACTTAAGTTGGAAAAAAAATGCATTGATGAGAAGGATATCCCTGGTGAAAGAAGCTGATACATAGGTGGCAATGTCTGGGCACTGATATAGCTGAATGATGAAATTACACAGATAAATAGTTCCTCATAAAAGACTGACAAATAACCTTTACAGCCTTGCTGACAGTATCAGAGGTCAGCTCTGCCTCTGCAGACACCATGAAGAAGCTGTGCTTTCCTAACTACAGACTTGCATTTCTGTACAAACTTAGGGACTGGTTTTGAACTGCTCTGGTCTGATTTTGGAAAATTCCATTCCTCATAGCATCTAAGACCTGCTCCTGTACCTGAAATAAAAGTTACATATTAATTTAGGACGTAACTGTGTAAAGATATCCTTTATTTTACTTCAGTGCAATTCATTCATATGAGTAAAACTAAAAGTGTCTGGAAACGTGAGTCTGCTTTTCATTGAAGCTTAGCAAATCCATATCTTTCTTCTCTAAAGACCTGTCGCAGACAGGAGGATAAAGTGACAACTATATGACTAAAGCGGAGCTGGTGACAGCTGGGAACTGGAAGCATCTGAATGCCCCAATAAAATCTATGAGCACTCTTTTTATTGAAAGCGTCTGCCTTCCTGACATCGAAATGGACTGAAATAAGAGTCCCATGAAACTTTATCAGGCAGCTAATAGCCGTGTGCATTATCTCCAGCCTGCCAAACAACTGATCTCTCTCTGATGCAGACACCACTATAGTCATCCATACCTTTGTAACCCCCAGGCCCTATTTTGAACTGGCCAGCTGAGGCACCCCAGAGGCCCAGAGGGTCCAAAATACAGCTGCCTATCTTCTTAGGAAGGCAAACCAATGGGAGAATAAAACATTTATATTCTAAACCTGAGGAGGTTGCTAGACAACAGGCTGGACAAAGCTGAAGGTGTTCATTACCAAAATGGCTCCACGCTCTGCTCCCTGGTCTCTGGAACCATTTGCAGTTGGGGTTGCGCTTTTTAAAAGCAAATTTTAGAGACTCCAAGAGCAGTCGAGTGTTTGGCTCAGACCACCGACCCCCTTTTAGAGCGCGTCCTTGCCAGAAACCTCCTTAGTCCAAAATGGCTTTAAGAGGCACCACTGTTGAGATCTTACACCCAGTGCACTACACCTGCATTGCTGTTGCTTGGCCATGTCCAGCCAAACTAGGTGCCTTCTCACAAGGAGGTAACGGACCTCTGAGAAGCCACTGCCACTATCAGTTCCTCTCTGACTTCTGTGGCACGGGCCACCTGGGCTCTGGCAACATGACTTGTAGCATCAGGATG